GTGTACGTGAGGTCCTAGAATGCAACATTACCTCTGACACAGATTCTAGTACCATACATGAACTTGAGCTTAAAGTACATTCATTAGCATTCCACTAGTTCCCTTAGAAACTCTCGTGAGACTAATAAGGAGTAATTTATAATTTCTGTAAAAACTTAATTACAATATTAAAATTACATGTAGGTATTTTTTGTTATCAAACTCATATTGAATCTAATTTGATATATATCAAACTCATAATGATATCTAGATATAATTACTGATTTATAAAATCAAAATGTTTCATAAAACTAATGACAAAGTGTTAAGATTTTTCTAGAATGTTGAAATCATAGTAAGTGTTTTAATAACCATATACGTGTGTGTATAAGGTGGTTTAATCTTTTACTTATATGGCATTAAAGTCATTAAGATATATATATATATATATTCATTAAAACTATCAATTGAGATGAAATGCATTGTAACTATATTTTTGGATTTTTGGGAGCTAGGATGGAATGGATGGAAACAAAGTGTTGAAAACAGTTGATGAAACCTTTTGAAAATAAATCTTGAAAATCATAGTTCAAAATGATTTAGGGAGTAGAAATCACTAAGTTTTCTAAATAAAAAACCTTAAAGAATCTTTTAAGTCTAGGATCTTAATAAATGGCCATCCAATCATAAAACCCTATAAAGCATACTTAGTGTGTGCATCAGGATTAATTAATGCACTTGGTTCAATGCAAATTCATATTAACTCAACAATCAAACAATATCATGTAAGAAATAGAGTATCACAAGAATTGCATATAAACATATATGTAATCACATTAACTAATCTCATACACAAGGTAATCATCCAGAATTGATAATAATCATAATCAACATAGTTCAGCCACAATTTTACAAACCTTAGTTCTAGGAATTCATAAAGGAGCAACTAGAACTATAGATGAACCAACTTCCCTTTGAAGCTTTTGAAACTCATGCCAATCAACCTATTTTCAAGAGAACAGATGCCTAGCCACGTATTGGAGCAAGAAACACCACAATCAGCAATGATTTCGAGCTACCCATAGTGGAAGATGAAGAAAAAATAGGAAAAGAAGAAGATTTAGTGAGGGAGAGCGAGAGAGGATGAATGGAAGAGGCTATAGATGAGTGAATGGATTGATGGATCAAAAATAGAGTTTCTAAGGGTATGTTTGGGTTGGCGTTGGACAAAACTAACTTAAGTTCAACTGACTTTTGTGACTGAAGTTAGAGTAAAAGTCAGTTAGGGTATGTTTAGATAGGTGTTTTTAAAAAGTCAGTTAAAAAAGTTGAAAGTTGTTTGGATGATTAATAGAAAAGTTAGTTTAGTTGTAAAATGACTGAAAAGGGCATAGACTTTATTGAATAGTAGTGTTTGAAATTTTATGTTTTTAATGTAATAATAGTTTAAAAAATACGTAAAATTATTATGATAAAATATAAATAGTTTATTTTTGAAATTATAAAATAAAAATATTTCTTATAAAGAAAAATTTGAAAACACATTGTAGATAATTAATTAAATATACAAAATGGACAAATATGAATATAAATTAAAATTCATTTGGTCTGGATAAAAGCTTATTTTGCTAACGAAGGAGATGAGGTAGAGGAAAAAATGTGAGGGTAAATCTAGGATGCTCATTTTTAATAATCACTGTTTGAAACTGCAGTTTGAGAAGTCAGATTTTTCTCTATTGAGTCCAACTAAGGTTGAAAGCCAGAAGTTGGCTGGAAAAGTTAGCACAGGTAAACAATAGTTTTGGTCCAACTTAGTTTGTAACCTTAGTTTCACAGATTCCAAGTCACAACTACAATTTCAAACTGCAATCCAAACAAGCCCTTAAAATGGTGAAATGGGTTGGATTTAATGAGTAGATACTCTAGTTTGTGATTAGAATCTGAATCTGAGTTACTAATATGAGGCCTTTGCCACAGCTAAGGGAAATATTTGTTACGGTGAAGTCTTCCTGAAAGGAGTTTTAGCAAAATTTTGTGAGGTTGTCATGGCAAAGATATCCTAAGATGATACTAATGCACATCTTCCAATTGCACCACGATGCATAATTATCTTGCCCGTGGTGAAGCTTTCTAGGAACAATATTTTCGGTTTGGGTCTTGTGTTGTCTAATCCATTGGTCTCCAATCTTGGCTCTAATTCTTAAGTGTCCTGTAATGAAAAGTAACAATTTGAAGCATTAATTGTCCTAGAAATCACTTGAATATAATTAATAATCAATTATGACAATTTTATCCTTAAAAAAATACTAACTTAAAGTAAAGACTCTTAATCTAAATCAAGCATAACTATCACAAAAAGAGCTACTAATTATAATAAAAGCCCTAAAAATGATATAAAAAGGTATAAAAGAATTGGACTCAATTAAAGGTTTTCTGAATATCTTACTAGGCTATCTTCACATGGGAACATGTTTCCCTTTTGGACACATTGCTTAGCAAATTCTCTTTTGCTTATTTAATCATCTTCTCTTGATCAATGTAACTTTAGTCTAGTATAACATGGCAAGAAATTGAAATTATTGTTTCTAAGACTATTGAAATCATATTTCAAAGGTTCGTTCCATTGTCGATTGGTTCTTAACCGAAGAAGTAAGAAACACAAGATTTTATTAGTTGTATGAAGCATAGGGTCTATTGGATAGTACTACGGTGGTTCTCTTTGCAAAGTTAATGTGCAAGTTCCAATCCCTTTGACTTCTACTCTTGTGCTATTTTTAGTCAAGAGCTATTTGTCTTTTTATGACATCTAATACAAATCAGTGAAAGCTCTACTTTTGTCATCTATTGCCCTTAAGTCTATAATCAACAAAGAATTAGATTTAGCTATGAGAATAGTGCCGGATGCACATGCGAAATATGAGGAGATCTTGTGTATTTTCGCTACTCATGATAATTCTTGTCAAGGTGCATTGTTTCACAACAAGAATTATACTTGACCTTTATTAAGTCTAATCTTTTTGTATGTGTGTTGCCTTTATTAGAGTTAGGTTTAGAGGAGAAATCCTCTAACACTATAGTTAAGAATGTGTAGCTAGTGGATTTTCCAACATCTAACCTTTTAGTCTTAAGCTTAATGTAGCGAACCACATCATTGAAGGTCACAATCTTTTATTATAAGTAAGGTTTATATTTATATTCTCCCACTCACTAGAAGAATCTTTTTGATAGCATGTACTTGTTGTGTATTGGAAACAACAAGCTCGTTTGATTCATTTTCCTGGTCTTATTTGACATTTTACCTCATGTATTGCACCCACTGGATGTGTTAGGTCATGTGAGTGTCAACAATTTCATCTCTTAAGGCCATCTTCATAGCCTATGTTGTGTTACTTAAATTAGCATGTTCTGAGTATAGTTATTCGATCAATGTTGTTCTTTCCTCTTTCAGGTAGTCATAAGCTTCCTATATCCTTTAAGGTGCTTCAATTTTCTAGTGCTAAAGAATAGTTGGTAAGATGTCCATGATGTCTTATTTCTCACGAATAAAAGAGATTTAGTGGTATCTTAAACCACTATTATCTCTTACTAAACTTGACTTATTAGCAAAACTCAGTCAAAGAGACTTGGTTGTCATAACTCGATCACACAGACAATTATGCATTATGGTATACAATTTGTACTTGTTCAAGTAACATAAAGATTAATGAGATGACAAATTCAATAGTTTTGTGTTCAGGAGTCAACTATGTTTGCTCTCATTCCATTCATGCTAGTTAGCTCATTACCTTTTTAATTGTAATCTTACTTAAACACATCCCCCTTCTTGGATTTCTAGATATCATGGTCTAGAAACTACTACTCAGTTAAAGCAATTATAAGAAAAATAATAATCTAGTATTTTATCATAATTGCATGAATACTCATAACCAAAAAGAATTTATTGAATTCAATTCTCGAGTGAGAATTTAACCAAAAAAAACATTCAAACATAAAAAACAATATCTCATTATTATTTTATTAAAAGTGAAATCGACTTACTTATATCGCATTGACCCATGTGCCAATTTTTCATGCCTTACCTCTTGTGTTTAGCTCTTCCTGTAGCTTTATCTAGCATGTCGGTGTAAAAATCAGTATGTACCTTATCAAATGTGTTTTGCAAGCATATATCCATTAGTTTCTTGTGAGATGATAGCCTTGCACCTCTTGTGGTTACACCCCTTATCACAACAATTGTGAAAAGGTGTGATGTTCCTTTCAATCTTGATCTCTTCAGTGTGTTGAAGGTTTGGGAGGACTTATTAACTTTGCTTAATAATTTTTTCTCATTTAGATTACTGCAAAATTAATTATTATTTCCTATCTCTTGAAGTTTTGAGTGTATTTTATGAAAAATAGACACATCTAAATCACTTTTAATTATGAAAAACTTTTTAGTATAAATATCATATTTTTATCTCATTTGAGAAAATTCTCTTAAGCTATCTAAAACCAATTATGAATTTAAATTCAATTATGAAGGTTTTATATGTTTTCTGTATGTAGAATAACTTTATTCTACTTCAGGTCTAAACTTACTTCAAATATAGGCCAATTACATATCAAAATGAAGCTCTTAAATTTAGAAATTTTTAGGGACAAACTACATTTCAATTAGAGGTCCCATTCACCCATAGGCGCTTTTTAGAATGTTTTGAAAACAAAAAATTCAAGAAAAATAGACAAAATATTTATTTTGACTATTAGACCTAAACGTGGACTCCACTTACCACTAAGGAGAGTGACAAGAAAATGTTTTTTTTTTTAATTAAATTCATCGCTCATTGAGCCCTTCATTAGCCAAATAAATTACTTTGTTAAAAATCAAAGATTTATGTTAATAAAATAATTGCTAAATATTCAAAAGTTAAGGCTGATATTTATTACCTTATTGACCATCTCATCAAGAACATATCCCATGATATTTGCTATAGGTTCAAATTTGTTCTTAGAATTTGATGGAACACAGAGAATGATAAGAGTCATACACCTCCGGGAACAAGCTCTAAGGCTCTGAAATTCAAGAAGCTTTCAATGTTTCTTGCAAATTGTGCAGAATATGCCTCTGCAACTTTTTTGTCTACTTCACTTGTAAAGTAAATTTTGCCTTTATCATAGGCGTGAGAGTTCTTTTCAACTATTTCTTTAGGCACATTTGAGAGCCAATGAAGTGCATAAGATGAGTTGAAAATATGAATACTTGATTCTGGAAACAATCTTCCATAAAATGAACCAGGCATTGCAGTTGCATGGTATTGCTTGTCATCAGGAAGGGAGTTGAGACGTGAGTTGAAATCATTACCAACATGGTCATCGAAAAACACTTGAAATTCAAGTGATGAGTCTATTATGCTATGTGTTTGAGATTGAAATGTGAGGTTCACAGCGTCTATAATGTTTTGAACTGTGAAGAATGTATTGGGTCCAACTGAACATCCCAAATCTGCTATGTGGAAAACTTTAGAGGAATCTTGTAAAAGGGTTTCAAGATCAAGAATCTCAAGAATGACTTCTTTTGCAATGTGTTTGATAGTATCTGCTCCAGTTCGCTGCAAAAGCCCATCATAAAAATGAAAAAAGAAGTTATTAAAAAGGAAAACAAAAAATAAAATTAGTGAGAATGAAAAACCTGATGGTTGGAATTTTGAGCATAGCTATATTGGCCATCTCCCCCATTCATTGGGAATGCTTCATAAGATTGGTTGCTTCTTTTCCTTTCCATCTTCGTTATGTTAAGAGCGTTTGAGAAACATGTATCTGGTGACACATCTATGCTATTTATTGATTACATAAACACAAACATTATTCCATTAAGTGACCCGTAATTTGGCACCTAGCTAATGGTTCGGCCCAATATTCCGATCCCTCTTATTATTGTTGTCAAACTCATGAGTTAACTCTCTGGGTTTAATATTTTTACAGTTTCAGCTTATGAAATTATGTCACGCGCTTTTAAACTCATGCTAAGTATAAACTTGATTGAACTTACGAGTTTCTTACCGAGTTTATCGCTTTTATGTTTTTAACTTACAAAATTATGTCAACTTGCTCTTAAATCTATGCTAAATTTTTGGATTTAGTTATATTTATTGACTTTATATATAAATTTTATATAAATTTCTTTATTGAATATGGTAAATTATGAATGTTAATTGAATTAATTTCAATTATTTAAATTTAAAATATACTTAAATGAAATTGTTGTCATTTTTATATATTAATTATTTGTTTATATACTTTTAATATCAATTTATTAATAAAAATAAACTCTGACAATTTTACTATATGAGTTTACATCCTTATCATGAGTTTGTGTAAATTCACGAGTTTAACAATCTTGCGTCTCTAATCACCTAAGCACATGGATATTATCATATCCATATCCGAGCAATGTGATTCCTTGATATTTAAAAAAATTAAAGCATATCTAGGGGGAGATCTAAGAGAAAACAATGGGCATAAAATTATGATACGAACATCATCAATTGTTTCTCCCTTTTTTTTTTTTTAAAAGAAAGCGACGTAGAAACAAACCTTTGAAGAGTCATTGCGGTATCCATGCTACACGATCCCACGGCCAAGAAAGCAACGTTTGCTCGCGGACTTTGTGAGGATCTGGAGTTTATATAATTAATTCAATGTGACTTTATATAAAAATTGATGTGAGATTCAAGGATTAGTACTCCTATGATATTCGATGCGAAGTCACGAAGTCAAATTGATCATGATTGAAATAATATTCCCTCTATTCTTAAATATAAAACTCATTTTGTATTCTATTTATCCTAAATATAAAACTCATTTTATAGTATAATTTACACTACAAAATGAGTTTTATGTTTAGAGAACCAGGGGAGTATAACTTAATTAAAATAAAAAAAGTCATATTTGACTATGCATGATTTCTAGCATTAATGTACACATAGATAGACTGTAATGTTATTTTTCTTTATTAATGCATTAAAATAGCGGCATATGAATCTCTTCGTTTTGAAAATTTCACAGCCATATTGATACACCAAGCTTCAGCATGTGTAAATTTTGCACACACGAAGCTGGAACTAAAAGAAGGAATTAGAAATGTACTATTTTTATTTTTCTTAAAAAAAATAAAAACAACTTGGTTCTAAGCTCATCGGGGGTAAAAGAAAAATACTACCTCCAATCCATAATTTAAGACTCAATTGACTAACTTGAGAAAGTTAAAAAAATTACTAAATTATGTATGTTACGGGAAAATCACAAAAATAGACCTTAACAAATAAAAAATTGCACACAAGGACGTATTCGTAAAAGTTGTTATCAAATCTATACTATTGTTGTCAAAACCTATACTAATATGGGAGAATTATAATGAGGTCCCAAGTAAGGAAAAAAAATTAAAAAACAAGTCCTAGAGGTTGTCATTCTCACTATAGAACTTGTCATTATAGGCTGTATAGATTGTTATTGCGACTTTTTGATAATTATTTTTTTTCTGTGGAACTTGATTGTAATTCTCCCCTATAATATTATCATGGGTCCCTATTTGTAATTTTTCTATCTTGACAGTTTTTTTTTCTGCGATTTTCCCATCATGTTAGAGCATTTATATTTATTCTTTTTCTCTAAACTAATTTGTCTTACTTATAAATTGAATGATACACAACATTTTAAAGAGATCATATAACTTATGCTATAATTAAATAATTTAGTAACTTTTTTTAATTTTTCTAAATTAGTCAATTGAGTCTTATATTAAGGATTAGAGGTAGTATTGTATACAATCCAATTTGACACTCTTGTTTGATTCGGGCAACAAGAGGATAAGATTCAAGATATTGGAAGCTAGGAGTACTGACTAGAAATCGGAGATCCAAACTGATCTTGGATCTCAAATCTAAGTTTCCTCTTGTCATCTTCTTGCTGTTCATTTTTCTGGTGGCTTGTTTTGCAATGGAATTTTTTTGTTGTTCATCATGTTATGTTAGGCGAAATTTACTTCACAACCTTGGCCAAAAAAGAAGCATGATGAAGGAGGTATTTTGGTATTTTACATAAAGAAATAATTTCATTTTTATGCTTTACTACTAAATTGATGTCTCAAAATTATTTTGGGTAAATGAAAGTTATGTAGCTACAGTGGTCTTTTAATTAAATTTTCCTTTTTGTAAATGGTGGTTGATTGATTTTTTTTAGCAATACACATGATTGTTGACTTATGTTGACATTTTGAAGCAAAATTAGAAAGCTGTTTGTCCTTTTTATTATCTAGTTCGTGTCCTCCTTTTTATTTTTTTTATATAAAGCCAAATTTAATGTACTATGTTTTTTTATAAGATTCTATTAACTAAATTATACCGTTTAAAAAAACAGTTAAAATTAGTTTAAAACAATAAATATGTGCAAATTAAATCTCTTTTTTCTAAGTATGTCCTTATTTAATGAAGCAATAAATAAGAGACGGAAATATTGGCAACGATATAAATGATGAAAGAGAGTGAAATACGAGAAAAAGATGATGATTGAGGAAAGAGAATAAAAAATTAATTAGGAACAAAATTGATAAAAATGCATTTAATGTTCAGATAATTTTTAGTAAGATCTTATAAAAAAAAACATACCAACTTAAATTTTGGAGTTTTGTGTATAGTACCGGAGGCATTATCTTTTTAAACGCAACTAGTTCATCCAACTCCATCTTCAACCTTTGAGAGTTAGAGTATTCCTTTTCTTTACACGCACACACAACCTTTGCGCTTGCACAGGCACACCTGTCTTTACACGGACATTCTCTCATCCATTATTTATCCTACTCTCTCCGTTCCTTTTTATAAGAGACGAATAATCGAATTACGTTGATAAAAAAAACAATTAAAATTAGTTAAGAATAATCAATGTATAAAAAGTATATTTTTTTTCCAAAAATGCCCTCATTAATAAGGAGAGAGAGCATGAGAGAGAAAAATTAAATTATTAAATGAAAGAGAAGTGAGAGGAAGAGAGAGTGTGAGTTGGAGATAATAAATATGGGTAAAATAGGAAATCAACACAAAAAAGTAGGGACAACTTTTAAGTATCTCTTATATATAGGAACATGCCATAAGCATCAAATGTCTCTTATAATAAGGAACGGAGGGAGTATTATACACGAGCACGCCTCTTCTTTAATGCTGTTTGTTTAACATAGTGATGATCATCAAATGGACGGTGAAGCACGCCTCAACTATAACTTATTTTTTTTTAAAAAAATAATTTTTAGTTAAAAATCATTAATTGAAAATTTTAAATTTAACTTTTGATAATGTATTTAGATGATGTAGATCTTATCATAATGATGAGTATCTTGCTTCCTATTGAAGTAGGGCACTTGGGTGACATTGCCCCATTTAGTCAAAATTTTCTTAAAAAATTCCAGATAATAACTGTTCTTGTACCAATACTTTTGGATAAAATTGACCTTTAACTCTTATAAATAATGCCATGTTGAAATCCTTTGAGAAACTTTATGTATAGAGAGATAGAAATTGAATAATGATAATTGAATTCTAGGGGACACATTCTAAGTATGATTGAATTAAACCACCATTCAAGAGCTGTACCATCAAGTCTATTATTTATGTACAATAATGTCAAGTCTGGGCTATATAATTAAATATTGGTAATTATGAGTAACAGATATCAATAATTTCTACAGTTCACGTTATCTTCCAGCTGGATATAACACGAACACGATAATATTTTTCAAACAAAATTGTACAAATATGATGATATAGGAAAAAGTTTGCTATGATTTTGTCAAGTCACGATACAAGATCAACTTCACTAGCGTATCTAAGAATTGAACATAGACTTGAAGACATTTATTTAATTTGTGTCACAACAATCCTCATTTGCGCTTCATTATAAATAACTCTCCCAATTCCTTGGAACTTGGGTCTGCAAGGAAGTTGGATTCTGATGCCAATTTCTTCTCAAACTGTACAAAAACATTATCCAGTGTCTTGCTCAAAGTTTTCCTTAAAAAATCCTTCAAACGCAGCTCTCAAGTGCATACTCGAACTATGAGCATCTATTTGATACGTATCGTTGTCAATTAGGCGAAATAATAGTTCTGACTTCTCAATTTTGAAATTCCCATTCTCCTTAATCAATTTCTTCACCTCTTCTGATGTTGGAACGTAGATGGGAATGTTGAATGAATCAACCAGTTCTTCACTTATTAAACCCTTAATTCATTTGCAAAATAAGTTACTTGAAGGAGGATAATCAATAATCATTTTACATAACAAATCAAAATCAATGAGATAAGATAAACAACTAATAATACTCAGTTCTGTATGACATATAACATCCTTTGCCCAAAAATTTAGCAGTTTTGTTGTTTCCTTCTTGTTGGTTAGCATAATCAATAATCACCTCAGAAACTTATAAACAGACATAAAATATAGAGTAACTGTTCATTATTTACCTTATTGGCCATCTCCACAAGAACATCGCCAATGATATTTACAGAAGCTTCGAATCTATTCAAGGAATTTGGTGGGACACAGAGAATGATAAGAATCATGATGCCCCCAGGAACAAGTTCTAAGACCCTTGAATTCAGGAAGCTTTCAAGGTCCCTTTCAAATTGTGCAGAATATGCCTCTGCAACTGCCTCATCTTCACTTGTAAAGTAAATCTTCCCTTTATTATAGGCTCGAGAGTTCTTGTCAACTATTTCTTTAGGCACTTTTGAGAGCCAATGAAGAGTATAAGATGAGTTGAAGACATGAATGCTTGATTCTGGAAACAATCTGCCATGAAAGGAACCAGGCACAGCTGCTGCAAAATACTGCTTGTCCTCAGGGAGGGACTTCAAAAGTGTGTTGAAATCATTACCAGCATGATCATTGAAAAACACTTGAAATTCAACTGAGTCTTTATTGTGTTCTTGAGATTGATATTTAAGGCCCACGGAGTCTATAATGTTTTGAACAGTGAAAAATGTGTTTGGTCCAACTGAACAGCCCAAATCTGCTATGCGAAAAGTATCAGAGGAATTCTGCGGAAGTGTTTCCAGATCTAGCTTCTCAAGAATGGTCTCTCTGATCATGTTTTTAGTAATATCTGTTCCTCTTCGCTGCCAAACAACATCAAACTTCATTAGCTTTGTATGAGGCAACCTACGATTTAGATACAAACATATTTTAAGTATTGTTGTGACGAACACCAGAAGATTACAGTTTTGAAGCATATCAAGTGGCGATGGGGGCTCTATCTTTTGAGTTGCTCGACAAGAAAATCAGTCTGAATGAAATTTTAAAAACTACGGACAAGAAGCAGAAGAAGAAGAAGAACCTGATACATGGAATTTCGAGCATAACTTTGCTGCCCATCTCCACCATTCATTGGAAATCCCTGATATGATTTGGAGACTTTTTGGCTTTCCATAGCTATATGATAGAGTAATTGTTTGCGCATCGCACTTGTATATTTGAAATTTGTATGCAAGTATTTTTTACTGGAAGTGGATTTTTTTTTTTGGGGGGGGGGGGGGAGGGAGGCTACCGTGAAAAGGAATCGATAATTGTAGAGGCTGCCATTATTTTTTCGGAGTATAGCTATATTTGTCGGGGCAGCAAGTGGGCACTTTTCTCAGTACAACACTAAACGCAGAACATGACATTAAATGCAAGCATTTTCCATAACAGAAATTTTAATGTTCAAGTCTCCTTCGATTGTCAGTGTGTTTGGATGGAAACTAAACTATGGTTTCAAAAGTGATTTTACAGTCTACGAGGTAAATATGTGAAAGACTTTATCTCCATTTGCGGAAAAGTACTTCTGAGAAGCACTTTTCAAGGTATCCAAACATTCCCTGAATCCAACCTCCATTAATTGCAAGCCACCGTTGTTGATTGACACATTATACAATATAATCCATTCCTATACATAAGATCCCAAATTTTAAATTGATTTTGTTCTTTTTATATATAAGATCTTACTAAAAATTGTCTAAACATTAAATGTGTTTCTTCCTTTTTTTAAAAAAGTAATTTTAACTATTTAAACAACATCATTTAGTTAATAAGATCTTATAAAAAAAACCAAATGGAATATAACTCAACAATAAGTTATATTAGGAGACTCGCCTTATACAATATATACAACTCTGTTCCTATTTATAAGTTTTTTAGGAAAAAGTTTGTTTCTAAATATAAGTCATTTGTAGGACAATTAATGAGCATTTTCTAGTTTTACCCTTGTTAACTTCAATAGGTGAGAGAGAATATAAAACATATTTTTAATACAATTTTTTTTAACAAAAACAAATATAAAAATTATAATACATTTTTAGTTTGCGGGTTTAAAGTACAAATAATTTATCAATGAAAAAGAGTGATCTTTCACCATACTGTAGATGCTCTTAATGTAAGGAATCGTGTACAGGGAGTCATCTTTCTTTCTTCGTTTAGAAGTTGCATTTCCCCCCTGTATCTGATGGTAATAGTTGAGCAATAAAATCCTTCTTTCACTTAGGAAAAAAAAAAACAAAAAGAAAAAGAATAGAGTGGCATAACCTAATATAAAATGGAGGCACCTCTTTAAATACTCTATTCCATCTTTTTTTTCCCCTGACCAAACCATGTGGATTAAAATGTTGGTCAAAATTGATGAAACAATAAATATGTAAAAATTCTAAGTTTCTTTTAAAAGAAAAAACCCTGATTTATGGAGAGCATAGGGAAAATGATAAGAAAATTATTAAAATAAAGAGAATAATACTTTTGGAAATGAGATAATAAATATATTAAGTATTAAAATGAATAATTAATAGGAGAAAAATAGAAAATTAACTAAAAAAAATTTAAGACATCTTGTAAATATTTTTTATAGATAAAAATACAATAAAAATGATAATTGTTTCTTATAAAAAAGTTACAGTTATTTTTTTATTGACAACATCTACATTCGCTACCAAAAACAAAACTTTCGGCTGAAAGTCAACAGCACTGTCAACAAGTTAGTTAAGAATAACATGGGCTATGTAGATATAATTTAGAAAAACGTTATATATATATATATATATATATGTACGTATGGACTCATATCTAGTTATAATTATAATTTTAATAATAAAAATGTTAGTTGTTATTTTTAATTGATTTTATTCTTTTTATAAGATTTTACGAAGGATTGTCTAAACATTAAATATCTTTCTTCTTTTATTACTTTTAACTAATTTTAACTGTCTAGACAGCATAATTTAGTTAATAAGATATTCTAAAAAGAGCCAACTAGAGTATAACTCATCAATAACTTACATTGGGACAAGTACCTACGTTATACAATATATACAACTTTGGTTCTATTTATAAGTTTTGTAGGGAAAAAGTTTGTTGCTAAATATAAATCACTTGTAGGGTAATTAATGAATTTTTTTTAGTTTTACCCTTAGATGAGAGAAAATATAGAAAATATTTTTAATAGCATTTCTTTAACAAAGATAAATATAAAAGAAATTATCAATTTAATGTATCTTTTAGTTTTCTGTTTGAAGTACAAATGATTTGTAAATAAGAACATGCTGGTTTTTCATCATACTATAGATACTCTTAATGTGAGGAATCATGTATAGGTAGTCGTCTCTCTTTCTTCGTTTAAAATTTGTATTTCTCCCCTGTATCTGAAGTTAATAGTTGAGCAATAAAACCCTTCTTTCACTCAAAAAAAAAAAAGAAAAGAAAAAAGAATAGAGTGGTATAACCTAACATAAAATGGAGGCACTTCTTTCAATAGTTTATTCCTCCATCTTTTTTCCCTGACCATGTGGATTAAAATGTTGGTCAAAATTGATGAACATAATAAATATATAAAAATTGTAATTTTATTTTAAAGATCCTCATTTATGTATGGAGAGCATAGGGAAAATGATAAGAAAATTATTAAAGTAAAAAGAATAATACTTTTAAAAATGAGATAATAAATATGTTAAGCATTAAAATGAGTAATTAATAAGGAGTAAAACAGAAAACCAACTAAAAACATTTAGACGCTTTGCAAATATTTTTATAGATAAAAACGATAATTGTTTCTTATTTAAAAACAAAGAACAGTTATTTTTTATTGACAACATCCTCACTCGCTACCCAAAAAAAAAAAACTTTCCGCTGAAAATCAACAGTACTTTCAATAAGTTTCTTTTTTTCTTTTTTTAAGTACTGTCGATGAGTTAGTTAAGAGTAATATAGGCTATATAGATATAATTTTTAAAAACGCCATATATAGGCTCATATCTAATTATAGTTATAATTTTAATAATAGAAATGTTAGTTACTATCTCCTATCCTAATTATAAAACCCTGTTTATAGTCTACAAATAGGGTGTTGTAATTAAGACTGGAGGTAGTATTATTTTGTTACACATAATAATAGTTGAAGTATTAATAATAATTCCCACAGGAAAAGCCGTCCGCATTTAATGTTGGATATTATTTCAAACAACGTTGCATTTAATGGGAAGATAGCTACACGTAAAACAAACGAAAAAAAAGAAATCTTAATTATAATATACCACCTTGGTCTTTAGTATAAAATTAAATAACTAAATTACAGAAATTTAAAAAATTTGTTAAGTTACTTATTTATAATAAATGAATATTGTCTTGTCTAAAATATTTCTATTAATCGTGTGTATTGAAATTATCCTTTCATGAAAACTTTCTAACAGGTGCAATCCTTATGAGGATTACTTGGGACAAAATAAATAAATATTGTATTAGAGACAAAATAGATTGAAATCTTATATTTATGACACAATTAAATCTCCACCTTATGAGCTTTTATTACAAGTTTTTTTTATCTTATACTACCTCCGATCCTAATTATAAAACATTATTTATAGATTACAAATAAGGTCTTATAATTAAGACTAGAGGTAGTAGTTATTGAATCAAGTTGCCATGACCTTAAGTTGATTAAACTTGATCCATTAAGTTTAGAATTACATTTCAAAGTTAGGGATTCATCTTTCTTTCTTCTGAGTAATCTCACGTGTACTTGTAGCATAAATACATAATTTACTGAGTGGTTAATAGAATACAGTACGCACGGAACATGCTAACCATTAAGTAAATAAGAACAAGTATATAAAAGAAAAATGTTATCTACCATATACTCCATTCGATCTATAATATAAGAAGCTAGTTAACTTTTCTCATAAGTCAAAAAATATCAGTTAAGTCATTAAATTTGTTACAAATTGATAAAAATTATCTATTTTACTTTTATTAAAGAAAGTAAAAGAAAAATTCACTCTCATCTCTCCAGCATTATTTAAAATTATCTCTCCTCCTTATAACAATAGTTAAAAATAAAAAATTATCATTAATTATTCTGTCAATTTCTTATATTTTGAACTAATTTTTTTTTTCTAACCAATTTTTTATATTGTGAATTGGCGGACCACTTATCCCGTTCCCTTGCGAGACTTAGAAATCTTCCTAGAATTCCGTGGTGCTCTGTCCTTCTCTGAGCCTACAAGTGATACGTATGAAAATTATTTAACTTTGGTGAGATGAAGAAAGTATTAAATAGCTTTCTTGCTTAATGTTGCCACCTCATGCTTTCTAGCTTCTATCTTTATGAATGGATTGATATGATGACTCCTTCCTTTTTTATCTTTCCCCACCGCTTCATCTTCCAATTTAATTAATTAATCAATCTATTGCCACCCCGTATTTGTATAAGATATATATAGGATGATTGAATCTTATCCATTTAACATTCCCACCACCTCCTGCCCATTTTATTTATTTTCTTACCACATGCTTCTATATGTAATCTGATCATGGTAATTTAGAATGTTGACACGTAATTTTCTTCCATTCGGTTTATCTTCTCAAATATCCAATTAAATGGACAAGGAAAGAATTTTGACGTGGGTCACACAATCACTTGCCACCTAATACTACCATTTCTTCGGTTTATTGTTCATCATGCAATGAAAGAAACTCACACACCTATCACATTTATATAGTATTGAACACGTAACCCCATACTTAAATAAAACTTAATGAGATGTTTAATGTCAGTAAAACCAAACCAAGATCCCACCACCTAATTAATACAATCTAAATTCATCAGATCTTCACTTGAATGAGAGGAAATGAGAAATGAAAGAATAAGGGACAAGAGAGGGAATAATGAAAAATGAGTTGAGTGGCCTTAATGACAAAAGGACAACGTAATTGCTGCCCGCTAACAAAAGGCCTTAATATATTGGCGTGAATTAGTCAATTCTGCACATTCCCTTCTCAATTTTATCCCATCTTGGGGTAACTCTGTCCTCTTAGTGTAATTAGTTGTATAATGAATCCTAATTACCAATTTACCATAAATCATCCACTCAAACTATGATAAATATTAATAATTATTTATCGTCCTTAATT